ATAATGACTGATTGGCATGTAATATTAAAGCCACAGTACAAAAATATTATTTATGCCTTTCAATATATTCACTTTGGCATGTCCTTTTCGGGCAAACATACCTTTCATGATTATCCCAATTCAAAGATTTAGAAATGCTTCTTCTATCCCTTTAGGAAGTGAAAAAGAGATAGACCTGTCGTCTTTTTCTTCAAGTTGTACGAAGTACAATACTCTGTAGCTAAGAAATGCCCACTTTTTCTGGAAGCCACATCGGTCCCTTACACTGATTGCTACAAGCACTGATGTCACCCGTGTTACAGTGCCCTAGTATGAGTGATCTCTCTTTCATAATATGATCTTTGGGTTAACAACACAAGCAGTGGAAAAAGAGAGCACAGACAATCTATTATCCAATCTTGTTATGGCTCATCATCCGTAGCTCGGGCTAGTTTAGTATCACCACAACTGGCATCTAACGGAACGCACAACCGGGAGCTGGATATTAAGTAACATAATTTACCTCTAACTGAAAATCGATACCAGTATACCGAAGGCATGTATTGATCCTGAAACAGTGTAATGTTCAACTTCGTTGTATTCTTTCTTTCTTTCTTATTGTACAGGAGACCTTTGTCGTGTTTGTTGACGTGTTAGAGTGTTAACGACGGCGTTCCTGTAAGCAGCCGACGCCGTTCATTGACGTCAGAGGCTGAAACACCATCCCGAGCTGCAATGTGGAATATATCATATATCATCATCAACCCGAACAATCCATTGCAAGACGTAGCCTCTCCCAATCTTTTCCAACTTTGTCTTGCGTTTTTTGTTTCCAGTCTTAGCCCCCAATTTCGTTATTTCGTCACATCATCTTATCATTGGTCTGGCCCTTGGCTTCTTTATGTTATCTATATCCCAGTCTGTTACTTTCTTTGTCCATCTGTTGCCCTGTCTCCGACATATATGACCTGCTCATTGCCTTTTTTTTCATGTTCACAAGTATATCTTCCACTTTGAGTGTTCCCTGATCCATGTCACCCTCATCCGATCTTTTGAGCATCAACCTCTCCACCCCCCTCTAGGCACTTGTTAGTTTCCTCTCCAATAAGTAGGTTATAGTCCATGTTTCTGGCCCACAGGTCATAAATGGGAGGACGCATTGCATACAGACTTTTTATTTTAAACATAATGGTAAGGAGCCTCTAGTATGCTACTGTGTCTGCCGAAGGCACTCCAGCCTATACCAATGTATCACTTAATTTCCTCTTTGCTAGATGTTTTTTCTGCACAAGTTGCCCTAGGTATGCATACTTGTCCACTACCCATAGCACTCTGCCTTGTACATGTATCTGCTCGAATTGAACTCTACTGTTGAACAAGAGGTTAGTCTTTTTCTTGTTCATCCTAAGTTCGACTTCAGACTTTCTCAATTCAGATAATTCATTAGTTGCTTCATTTCATTTGCAGATTCACTGAAAAGAACAATATCATCTGCAAATCTCGGATTGTTTAGGTAATCATCCATTTTGATGCCCTTTCTGTTCCATTCTAGCTTCTTGAATACTTCCTCAAGACAAGCTGTAAGCAGTTTTGGTGAGATGGTATCCCTCTGTCTTTATAAATTGGTACTTTATCGGTTTCCGTGTGGAGCTTGATGTCATTTCTCCGTTTGGTTTCTTTATTGCATACATTTGATTTTTCCCTATTCACAGTCTCCTTTTAGCTGTTTCCGTGCTGGTACCTGTGATCACTGTTTCATTATCTATTTGAGTGTTGCACTTCCGTACATCTCTCCTATTTTTATTTATAATCTTTGCTAGTTCAGTTAATTCTATTTTGTCCCTGTTTGACGATACTTTCATGACCCTATATTTTTGCATACGCTGTTTAGTTTCTACAAAGAGTTTGCTGGAGTTTTGCTTGACATTCTTACCACTACTTCAAGTGCAGCTTCCTTAATATGTCATTAAACTATTTGTTGATTTGGTCAGTGTTGAGATCTTCGTCGTTGAGAAGGGAATATCTATTTTGGATGTTTAGGTTAAATTCTGTCACTCTGTTCTTCAAGTTAACTAAGTGTTCATATGAGTTTGTTCCTTTCCCTTCTGAGGTATAATTCAATTTGGCCTCATTTACTTTATTAATAACTCATATTTTTTTTTACTATATTGCACCTATATGGAATTATGACTGTAGTGAAGAGCGAGGACGGACGGATTCTGGCAGAGAAGGAAGAAGTGCTAAGGAGATGGAGAGAATATTTTGAACACCTGTTGAATGTAGAAAACGAATGGGAAGAGCTAACAGAACTACTAGCAGTGGAAGGTCCGATACAGCAAGTAAGCCTGCAGGAGGTGTCAGCCGTCCCCAAGAAGATGTAGAAGATCAAGTCAGCCAGCACATCGGAGGTGGTGGTAGAGATGTTGGATGCCTTGGGGAGTGAAGGTGCAATGTGGACCCACGAGATCTTAAAAAAAAATTGGAATGGAGAGAACATCCCAGAAGATTGGAGGACAAGTAT